CTCACAGCAATTCTCCTGCCTCAGCCACCTGAGTGCCGGGATTATAGGTGTGTACCACCATACACACCTGCATAATAAGATGACTTTATAAAAGTTGAGAGTAAGAGGCTGGGAAACATAGAGCAACAGGAAGAGAGGGAAAAAAGATTGGTCAAGGATTCAGTTAGCAGAAAGGAGTTCTACTTTTCTATTTTACAAGAAAGTGACTATAAATAACAATAATGTATTGTTATTTTTTTTTCAAAAAATAGACAAAAAAGCTGGTTATGTTCACCATACCTGTAACACTGGCACACAGCAGGTCGAGGCTAGAGGATCACCATGAGTTCAAGGTAGTCTGGGCTACATAGTGAGACCCTGTTTCAAAGAAAACAAACAAGGAGAAGAAGAAAAGGATTTGAGTCTTTTTACCACAAAGAAATAATGTTGAAGTTATGTTTACTTTGATGTGAATATTACCCAATATGTTTAAGGTTATTTATTTATTTATTCATTTTGGTACCAGGGATCCAACTCGGGACTTTATGATTGTCAGGCAGGCACTTAATGCTGCTGAGTCCCAGCCCTATCTGTACTGGGGACTGAACCAAGGGACACATGCTGGGCAGGTGTTCTACCGCTGAGTTATTGAATGCTGTTGCCAGCTTTTGCACCCTTTTTTTTTTTTTGCCAAGGGCTTGCTATGCTCTCGGTTGGCCTTGAACTAACTGGACAGCCCACACTGGTCTCCACACAATTCTACCTCAGCATCCTGAGCGGTGGGGTGACAAGCATCTACCATCATAACTAGCATTTTTTTTCTTCCTTTTGAGACAGTGTCTGGTTGAATTTCTCAGGCTGGCCTCAAACTCACAATCCTTCTACCCCAGCCTCTTGAGTAGCTGACATTACAGGTGTGCACCATCCCTGGTTTCTAAAGAAAATCAAAAAACTTAAAGAGATACTTTTTTTTTTTTTTTGCGGAACCAGGGATTGAACTCAGGCACTTGTGCTTGCCAGGGAAGTGCTTATTCCACTGAGCCATCTCCCCAGCTCCACAAAAGAACATTAAAGGTGCTTGCAATATTTCCTGGAGAGGGTGTCTAAATTCTGATGATGGGGCCGGGGAGATAGCTCAGTGGAATAGGCGCTTCTTGGCAAGCGCAGGGGCCTGAGTTCAATCCCTGGTTCTGAAAATAAATGAATGAATGAAT